CAGGCCGGTAGAGGAGGGCAGTTGGGGCAACCAGGCTGTCAGGGGAGGGCAGTTAGGGGTGATCAGACTGGCAAACAGAGGCAAATAGGGGGGATCAGGCAGGTAGGTGAGCAGTTATGGGCTATCAGGCAGGCAGCCAAGCAGTTAGGGCAATCAGGCAGGCAGACAAGCAGAGTGGTTAGTGGTGATCGGGCAGGCAGGCAGAGTGGTTAGGGGCGAGCAGGCAGGCAGGTAGGCGAGCGGTTAGGAGCCAGTGGTCCTGGATTGTAAGAGGGTGCAGACGGGACTGAGGGACCCCCTGTCCCCCTTCCCCCATACACTAATTGTGTGTACCAGGCCTCCAGTCAAGTTATAACTGTCACTGAAATGTATGGTGCACTGAGGTGTTCCCAAATGCCAGAATGTAGAGGACTTACTCTGAGGTCTTATTACCCACCTAAGGAGTCCTGGCTTTTATCAGCCATTTTATTCAATTTCTTCAGAGAACAGCCCTCTCCTTTGCTCAGGGTAAACTTCTCTTTGATTGTGTTCTGATGAGGGGTGGGCAGAGAGAACTTGTTATAATAGCTTTGTTTGTTTCCATGTAGAATTTTAATTTGTCCTCAGTTATGGCCTCATTTCTCAGACTCCACCTAAGCCGAGCCTCCAGCTTAAAACCTGCTTTTCGTTTATCAAAAATCTGCCAAGAACCTGTTGAATTCTCTCAGTTAACTTCATGCCCTCCTTCTGTACTTTATTTCTGTGGAATGTCAGGAAGCCATACTAGTTCAGTAAGCCATCCTGAATCAAAAGCAGAAATTTTTTTTACTTAAAACTGCTTTATTTAGACTCCTTTACAAAAAAAGGGGGGGGGGTTTACTGTCATGTTTGTGTGCATTCTAAATTATATAGAGAACAGCAAACATCAAAGCAGTGAGTTTATAGCTAGTTGTGTGAAGAAAAGTATTAAGGCAGTAATTTGTATTTTGGGTTATTTCATTGCCCTCTGAAAAGAATCATACCAACTAGTAATACTCATCTCTAATATTATTAAAACAGGCTCTCCAAGGGCAGCTGCCAGCCCTGCGCATCTGCTAGAGTGGGTACCTCTGATTGCAGCTGTCATTTCAGAACAGCGCCAGCAGCAGTTAGAAAAGCATTCCTGAAAGTAAAGTTAACCTGATTAAAGAGAACCGGGCAGGTCTTTCTTCTTGTCATCAGGACTGCCACCTCCTCTGTCACCAGAGCTGTGAATTATGGGATAAAGGATAGGCTTTGGTAGCTATGATATATCTTAGTGTAGTGCATTTTTTGAAATTTTTTAAAAATATATTTTATTGATTTTTTTTACAGAGAGGAAGGGAGAGGGATAGAGAGTTAGAAACATCGTTGAGAGAGAAACATTGATCAGCTGCCTCCTGCATGCCCTCTACTGGGTATGTGCCGGCAACCAAGGTGCATGCCCCCGACCAGAATCGAATCTTGGACCCTTCAGTCCACAGGCCGACACCAGTCTATCCACTGAGCCAAACCGGTTAGGGCAGTGTAGTGCATTTTAATTGGGCCATTGTTCTGGTTTTATTTATATTGCTAAGTCATCTCATCTTTTTCTTTAATACAAGAAAATCAAATATGTTATTTCTTGCAGTAAAAGGGGTCTGCTGCAGTACTGTAGGCCTGTATGTTTTGTGCAAAGGGGGCATTTAGTCACTCATTTGGATTATTGTAATATTAATTTACATACACTGAATGGAATTTTATCTCTGTGTGTTTGACTAAGCTAAACTTGGGAGCTATGGCATATTGAATGATTTTTTGGTTCTCTAAATAAAAATTAAAGAACAGAGCCAAGGTAAACACAATCATTACAAGAGTCAGCCAACTTTTTCATAACGGACCAGATAGTGCATCTTTTTGACTTTGTGAGCCAAATTGTCTCTACCACAACTAAGCAGCCATAGATTATAGATGATGAATGAATGAGTGTGCCTGTGTTCCAGCAGAACTTTATTTACAAAAGCAGGAGGCCAGGCCAGTGTTTGCCAAATACTGACCAGAAGTTCTGTTTGTAAGTTTTTTGTATAGTGTTAGTTGGAAAAGGGTGCTCTTTCTTGAGGATGTGGAGATGAACTTGGTGGCCTGAAGACTGTTGGATTGGTTTGTAGTCTTGTCTGGTGTAATGAAGATAAAATGTGCATCGAAGCCAGGTTAGGAAACTTTCTCAGTTTGTTTGGATCCTTCAAGCAGAAGCAAATTCATTTTCTAGGCTTACGGTAGGCAAACCTTTAAATTGGAAAAAGAATAGGCTTTGGTGTCTATGATATATCTTAGTGTAGTGCATTTTTAATTGGGCCATTACAATTTACACCTACTGGGGATCAAGCTTACAACCCAGGCGTGTGCCTGACTGAGAATAGAACCATTACCTCCTGGTTCAATGCTCAACCACTGAGCCACAGCAACTGGGCAATTTATTTTTAATCAAAAAGTTAAAATTTGGGTATTTACTCTCTTAATTCAGCAAAGTACATAGAGTATACAAATTAAGAATCTTCCCTCAAAGTTACCTTTAAGGGTGGCTGTGTCATGCTGGTTTTTTTTGTTTTTGTTTTTTGTTTTGTTTTTGTTTGTTTTTTAATTCTGGAAAATTTCAAATACTTGAGAATGGAAAGAATAGTATATCTCCCATGTATCCATCACCTAACCTCAGGAATGATCAGTTTATGGTCAGTCATTTTTCTTCTTTATAACCACATAGTTTTGAATCATGCTAGGTTTTTTAAATTAAAATTTTAATTTTTACTTAGTTTAGGCAGTTTGGAAACTCTACAACATCACCAAAGAATTTGCTACATAGAAAATCAAGAAGTAAGGACTATGATGTATACACTGATAATATCTGCAATCAGGAACCAGAAGATAATTTTGCAAAAGAGCTTCAACAGTATATACAAGCCAGAGAAATGGCAAAAGCTGCTCAGTCCTTATTGTCTCATGAAGAATCCATGAAGAAAGAGGAAGCAAAGTGTACACAGGAAGGTAAAGGTAAAACTATTTTATCATTTAAAGTCTATCTAGAGGAGCAATCACTTTATTCATGACTTGGGGGGTGGGGGTTCTCCTGCATTTTATAAGACTAGAGGCCCAGTGCACGAAAATTCATACACTGGGAGTGGGTCCCTCAGTCCAACCTGCACCCTGTCTAATCTGGGAGTCCTCAGGGGAGCCCTCGCCAATCCGGGAGTTTCTGTGTTTGCAATCATATGAGTGAGTTGTCTGATACCCCCAACCCAGTTTGGTTTGTTGCTCACAATAATAGAGGCATTTTTTTTTCTTCATTGGTGGAGATTTCCTGGAAGTTTTAGGATATCTTCCCTTTAATTTTTCCTAGACACTCTGATTTTACTTATGTCTCTCACCTTTGCTTTCCCTCCACCCCCCACCGCAACAGTAACTTGCTCCAGGCTCACTTTGCTCTAGTGTCTAGGACAGTGATGGCGAACCTATGACAACTCATTTTTTGGTTGATATTTCTCTGTTAAATAGCATTTAAATATATAAAATAAATATCAAAAATATAAATCTTTGTTTTACTATGGTTGCAAATATAAAAAAATTTCTATATGTGACATGGCACCAGAGTTAAGCTAGGGTTTTTTAAAATGCTCTCACGCCGAGCTCAAAAGGTTTGCCATCATTGGTCTAGGAGATCCGCTGCCATCAGAACTACGATTCCCAGCATTCCTGGTGCACCCCGTGCTCTGCGCTTCCTCTTCCGGTCCTGGGGCTGCCACCAGAACTACTATTCCCAGAATTCCTGGTGCTCCCCACGCTCTTGGTTTGCCCTTCCTGCTCTGTCTCTGTACCATGGCCTCCCACTCTGCCAAGTCCTCCAAGCCGCCAGCTCTCCCTCTCTGCTTTCCATCTGGCAGGTTGGGAGCCAAGTTCGCTAAGCCGCTCAACTCTCAGCCGGTTCTCCCACTCTGCTCTCTGCCCAGTGGCTAGGGGGGGCGACCGAGGGAGCCACATCCCCCCAGGCTGCTTGCTCTCCCGCTCTGCTCTCTGCCTGGTGCCTGTGTATGCAAATAAACCTGCCATCTTTGTTGGGTTAATTTGCATACTCAGTCCTAATTGGCTGGTGTGCGTAGCAGAAGGACAGTCAATTTACATGTTTCTCTTTTATTATATAGGGCTAGAGCAGCTGTGGGCAAACTACGGCCCATGGGCCGGATCCGGTCCGTTTGAAATGAATAAAACTCAAAAAAAAAAATAAAGACCGTACCCTTTTATGTAATAATGTTTACTTTGAATTTATATTAGTTCACACAAACACTCCATCCATGCTTTTGTTCCGGCCCTCCGGTCCAGTTTAAGAACCCATTGTGGCCCTCAAGTCAAAAAGTTTGCCCACCCCTGGGCTAGAAGCACAGTGCACGAAATTTGTGCATGGTAGGTTCCCTAGGCCTCGCTGGCGATCAGGGCCAATCAGATTCCCCACCTCCAACCTCCCAGCTTCCTCCTTCCCTCACTCCTTCAGTGCCCTGTCACCACCGCCTGCTGGTCGCCGGCCATGTTCCACGCCACCCCCTGGTGGTCAGCACACGTCATAGTGAGTGATTGAATTCCCGGTCGAACTCCTGAGGGGACACTTTGCATAATAGCCCTTTATATATATACTAGAGTCCCGGTGCACAAAAATTTGTGCACTTGCTGGGGGGTGGGGGGTCACTCAGCCCGGCCTGTGCCCTCTCACAGTCTGGGACCCTTCGGGGGATGACCACCTGCTGGCTTAGGCCTGCTTCCCAGGGGGATTGGGCCTAAGCTGGCAATCAGACATCCCTCTGGCAGCCCAGGAGCCCTTGGGGGATGTCCACTTGCCAGGGGGAGCAGGCCTAAGCTGTAGTCGGATATCCTTAGTGCTGCTGAGGAGGTGGGAGAGGCTCCCACCACCATTGCTGTACTGGCAGCCGTCAGCCTGGCTGTGGGCTGAGCAGAGCTCCCCCTGTGGGAGCGCATTGACCACCAGGGGGCAGCTCCTGCATTGAGCATCTTCCCCCTGGTGGTCAGTGTGTGTCATAGTGACCAGTCATCCCAGTCTTTCTGCTGTTAGGGTCAGTTTGCATATTACCTTTTTTTTATATAGGATAGAGGCCTGGTGCATGGGTGGGGGCTGGCTGATTTGCCCTGAAGGGTGTCCTGGATCAGGGTAGGGATCCCCACTGGGTTGCCTGGCTAGCCTGGGTGAGGAGCTCATGGCTTTTTGCAGGCTGGCCAAGCTCCCCCCTCCCCCCAGTGGGGACCCTCACCCCATGGAGGTTTGTCCAGCCTGGGTGAGGGGCTGAGGGCCATTTTCAGGTTGGCCAAGCCCCCCAGAGACGGAAGTTCCAGCCCCTCCTTTTTAATTTTTTTCTGGGAATTATTTACCTTCTATAATTGAAACTTTGTTGCCTTCAGTGGAGCTCAGAGCTTGCCATAGCAGGCAGGAAGCTTGGCTTCCTCCATCACTGGAGCAACCAAGTCTCCTGCTCGCTCCAGCTCCAAGGCTGCCGGCCGCCATCTTGGTTGGGTTAATTTGCATATAGTCGCTGTGATTGGCTGATGGGTGTGCCTTAAGGCATAGCAAAGGTACAGTCAATTTGCATGTTTGTCTTTTATTAGATTAGATAGAAAATCATGTTTTATATGGATCTTTACTCCAAATGTGAGACATCCTTCAACACCTGGCCACTCAGTGTACAATGCTCACTGAGTTTGCAGGAGGAGCTGGGAGTTCAGGAGGGTTATCAAAGGCCATGACTACTTTGAAAGGGACAATGCTAAATCCCAGCCTCTGCATGTAAAAGGGACAAGATATACCTGTTTGTATTACTGTCAGCTGAAGATGAGTTGACTCAATGTCAGGGATGGTGGTGTGTCAGACTAATTTCATGTATGTATTCTTTTAGCTATCTTAGTTTCAGGTGTACAGCTTAGTGATTAGTCAGTTATATAACTACTAGAGGCCCGGTGCACAAAAATTTGTGCACTCGGGGGGAAAGGGGGTCTCTCAGCCATGCCTGTGCC